AGGTCAAAGATAGACCTGGTATAAATTAGGGCTCCCACAAAGACATCCGCAAAAGCCCCAGAAAACCCATCAGTACCTTTGATGAACTGCCGCACTATGTCACGATACTGAAATGGACAACAATATGGATTTTCATTAACAACAATAACTGAATCATGTCAAAATTTGCCCGAGGATGTTTATATGGTCTAGAAAAATAGGAACTGTGCTAGAGGTGAAAGCTATGTAGTGAATTTATCATTTTGGCTGTAATGGTAGCTATTGAAGAGTGAAATGCAATTCCAGGACAATTCAAACATTCCATATGGATGGTTAAAATGTCTCAGAAGGCAAAGCACTTTCAAGCAATGTAAGAGAACAGACATCTGTGCATCTCTTCATATTTTAACAGATCTAAAATGTCCTGTTTCATAACTGCTCTTGTTTTTCCCATTATCCTGCTTCTTCTCTATCTGCTGAATATTTTTTTACATGAAAAAAGTGAAACAAGTAGTGGATGATTAACCATCTGATAAAACAAAGTCACCATCTGCAGTTTTGTAAACTATAATAATGGAATTTGAGTCTCCTTATTCATGTTTTAAATCTTACGCTGCTTCCCTGCTAATATAGGAGAAAAGATTGACTGATATTACATAAAATTCAACTTCCTGTACTAACCTTCCCATTCCATTCCGACCAAATTCTCCAGTGTGGAAATGAACCAACTTGATACAGACCACCTGTATCCCATGCTTCAGCGATAAGCTACTTGGAAAAAGACAAGATATTTGATTAGAGAGGTGGCACATTAAAGATATTGCCTGGAGGACTGCTGACTGAAAGCAAGGGTATAGTAACTTAATTCATCAGAATGATAACATAATCCGGAAGCAGAGTGACAACAAGCAGGAAGTAAAATACCTTTACTCCATGGAGTATTCGATCATTGCTTATCATGTCAATTAATGGAGGGCAGCTGAGGGGGGAACCGGTTGTCAGATAATCTCCTTCTATCTGATTCCCATATACATTGATTGCATCCCATAGACTGTTGAGAAAGAAGAACTTAAATTGAAGAAGAAACAGAATAAAACCCAAATTACTTGTATTAGTTCAGCAAGGACAAAGAAGTCAGGTGGAAGATCAGCAGATACCTGCTACTTCTGGTCATAATAGAAGCAAGATCAAATCGAAAGCCATCCACATGCATTTCAGTTACCCAATATCTGTTTTACATGAAAGCAACACAGAATTTCAACTCCATGTCAAGAAAAAAAAAAGAAGAAGAACCAAATAAAAAAGAAACAATCTCAAGTAGACAATTCTACTTAAACTACCTTAGGCAATCCACTATAAACTGACGTACAACAGGATGGTTGCAATTGAATGTATTCCCACAGCCAGAATAGTTATAAAACTCTCCCTGTAAAATAAGAGACAAGATAGAATTCACAGTAGTAATGCATTTTAGCAGTTAACCATCAAGATGACATTGCATGTCAATTTCATTAAGTGACATAAAAACTAATATTCTCAGATCCATTTTAGCAGGTAGTAAAAGTTTGCCTAATTAAAAGGGATGTGTTTTCACTACTTCACCAATATAACTTTAGCTCTGCACAATTTTCAGCTCTTCTAGTTGAATCATATTCAGTGAGTTCCACGTTGTAGTAGAAGTTTGAAAGAAGCAACACTTGTTATTCTTTTAATCTTTTTTTTTTTTACAAAACTTATTTTAGAAGCAGAAGCAAATAGAATGGAGAAGCACAGCCCTTTACTAACAAAATGCCAATTACAACAATAATCTCCAAATTATTATTAATTTTTCTTTAAAAAGCAGAAACAAACTCAGAATAGTTACTTGAGCAATACCTTAGGTGCAAGCATGTAATAGACACTATTATCAACACCTCTGAAAGAAAGAATGGGACCTTTCTCATTTCCTTCAGCTGTGTGATTGAAAACAACATCCATAATAACCTGCATAAGCAAATTCGAAATGGGAGTATATCAATTTGTAGAAATAAATGCTCAATCATATTGCAACTAGCAATCACCTCGATTCCTCTTTTATGTGCCTCTTTGACAAGAAGCTTAAATTCATTAATTGCATCTCGGCCACTGTTGCGAATGCCAGTAGATGAATACCTAATCATTGGAGAAAAGTAATTGACAGTAGAATATCCCCAAAAATTATACCTGGACAAGACATTTTAATTAGATCATGTTATAACCAGAATTTGTCAAGGTACAGGTAGGCAAATTTTTGAAGTTCATGAATTAGGAAAAAGTAACCTGTTTCTTCAGGTCATCTACTCAGAAAGATAAGTAAGGACTCTTCAATTTGAGGATATTTACGTCAATCAATGCTTAAGTTATAAAACCAAGCAAAACAAGTCCTAATTTTACGATTTTGTAATTAACATGCAAGCTAACATTTGTTTTAATGGTGAAAAATTGTACAAAAACTTCAAAAAATTCACCGGTTGAAAAAGTCTTGCATCTTGAAATATTTAAGTTCCCTACCAAAGGTCAAAGATCGTACTTGTAGTCATCCAAGACAGAATTGTAGCTGTAGTATTCCAGCTCATTGAACTCATGACATGGCATTAATTCTATACAGTTAACCCCAAGTTCCTGCCAAACAGATAAAGAGCTTATATGTACAGAATATTAATCACCTACACAAAATTACTGATAATTTTGTGATTATTTGATCCACAATAGAGCTAAATTGCACACAAAACCTACAAATCTTTCTAGCAATATCTAAAGAAATGGCGATTACAGCCAAGCCCATGACAACAATGATTATCAGTATAATGCAAGATTGGCAGCAGCACTTTATTGTCTAAAGATGCCCATAGTAAACAAATCACATTAATTAGACTTGGTAACTTCTATTGGAATCAACCCATGAAACATATTTACAAGGTCCAGCCTTATTTCCAATCATGTCATTACCTTTAAGTGGTCCAGCTTCTCTGCAACACCACGGTATGTACCAGGGAATTCAACCTTGCTTGATTCATGCCTCGTGTAACCTCGCACATGCATTTCATATATTATAAGATCTTTTTGCGGGCACTTCAGAGGCAAATCCCCTTCCCAATCAAACTGGAAAACCATCAAATATCCAAATATTTAAATGGACTCAGAGTGAAATCCAAATAACTTTACATTCGAGATGATACAAAAATTCGTTGGTTTTTACTCAAGTACAAGAAAAGAAAAATTCAATTTTCTATAAGAATGATGCGAAGTTTCAAAGACTATTCTACTTATATTCTTACATTTTACCAGGAGTCGAATAGCACATGCCATCTAAATGGCTAAACAAAAAAATTAAAAGAATACAATGGAAAAAAAAGATACATGCTGAACTGCCAAGTGATATGTATACCTCATCTTCATAAGTAGGGACCATGCAGGCCATTTGAGGCCAGCAATTATCATCAGGTCCTAAAACACCATACTCTCCTCTGCTTAAAACTGCCTGGAAAAATGAAGGGAAATCGGTTTTTATAAAACTTCAAAACATATAAACCCATCCCTGGTAGTTGTTGGATCAGGACGCAAGAAGCATATTATGTCCCAGTTCAAAACAAAGGCAAATGAACTCAATGTCACTAGAGGGCAATCTATAAATAAAGCATGAATTCAAAATACTAACTTTTGCGTATGGATCCAACAATATCCAAGAAGAATTATAATACTGCCCTTCTTCAGGAGATAACTCGCCATCAAATCGGTAACCATAAAGCATATCTTTGAAATCTCCTTTTACAAAAACATGCCAGATATCACCAGTCTTATTGGTCAATGGATCAAGAGAGATCTGCTCGGTGACCTTATTCTGCACCAGAGAATTAGAAAGAATTGTCACTCAGACCTAAAAGGCTAAGAAATTTAACAATACTAAGATTTAGTATGCACACGAAGTCGCAGGATTTTTCTAAAAGCATATTGTTTGGGATTATTCTTGTCATCCACATGATTTGATGTGAAGTGCTATTCACTAAGGTTCCATTTGGATTAATATCCATTCGGTTCCTACTCAATCCCAGTTCAGATTTCATATTAGCCTTTGTATGCTTAACGTTAACATTGTGTCTAAGTTCCTAAAAGACAAATAGTGTTAAACTGATTGTAACCCACCTTCAAATCCTTTATGAATTCTGTACTTGATTGTGGGAATTTACAGTTGGCAAATCAAAGTAATAATAAATTTTATTATAATTATAAATATTAAGAGTAGCATTAGAATCAAAACTAGAAATTGGCGAATAGAAAATGGACCAAGTGTTGCTAACTACGAAAGGATTCACTCTGTTTTCCCCATATAGGAGATGAGCGAACAGATGAAATATGATGAAGAGATTAAAAGAAAAGGAAAATAATTGCTGTACTTCGAACATGATAGCTACTAATTAAACAGTCACTGTCTTGTATTTACACCACTACAGAGTAATTTGGTTGATTCAATATGGTATCGTTCAAAATTGTGAAAATCCTTAAACTATTATCTACTGACCTCCTGCAAATCAGCGGGACTCATCAAGCAGAGAGTAGCAGAAACCGCATTGGCTGAGAAAATTGCGAAATTAACCCCATCATCTCTAGCTGTAGCGCCAAACGGCGTCGGAAAACCCTCAGACACCTGAAACCTTCCCAATTTGGGCTTCTCCACGACTGCAGTTCCCACTTCCGCCTCTCCACTGCTCGCTCTGATAACAATCGACGACTCCCGTCTCGAGAAACGTCCCAAAACGTCACCGTATTTTCTCAACTCGGAACTGAAATTCAAACTAGTGCTTCTCTTTTCCCTATTAAATGCCTTGTTTGGATTGATGAATCGCGGGTTTCGAGGATGGAGCTTGGGAGAATTGAGCAGGGTTGAACTTGAACTAGAACGACTTAACTCCATTTGCATTTTAACTGAAAGAAAACCAATCAATTATTAGACTTCCCCAATATCTGAGAGAGTAGCTTTTGTAGACTGTAGAGCTGCTTCTGGTTCACTCATCCGAACGGAAATGGGGGGTAGCAGATACCTCTTTTTTAGGTTGCACTCTTTTTAAGATCGTGCATGGCTGCTAAGAATCACTCTTGAACAGATGGCATAACACTCTATTACTCGTATCTGAACTGCTGAGTCCCGTCTCACCCCATCTCCGGAAACCAAGGAAGGATTAGGACCACTTGCTAGGTTTATCAAAACATTTCGATCCAGATCGTTGGAGAGATATTTCATTGCAAAATCAGATAAGTTCAGCTATTTTTGTCCGTGTTTGTATGTACAAAATTGGAAAAGTAAGATACAGATGATACTTGTTTTTAATTAAAAAAAAATATTTTTGCCCTTTTTTATCCCAAATCTAATAATAAATTTGACTTTTGACGAAAGAAAAAAATAGAAATTTACTATTAAATTAACTAATTATCTTTTCTCTGTTTAGTCCTATCGCATGCACCGAGGTGGTCTCTGGTCTGAATCAATAGGATATAAATTTGACGTTTCAACCGAATTTTCCGGTTCACGAACCGACCCTCCTCGTTCATTTCATTCTTTTGCATATATTAAACGTCACAACACTTAGGCATGTGAAACCTCCTATAAGAGCAAAAGATTGAGCTTGAATTCAATCGGGTCCTTTCTTTTGTTTTGAAGGATTTTGCTAATCGGGTTCGAGTTGAAGAAGAAGGGACAGATCTGAGTGTACCAGAGCAACTGGGAAAATGGGCGAGTATTCTTGGCCAACCGAGTCTCAGGTGATTATCCTTATCTGTGTTGTGATTATTTGAACTGCATTCTTGTTGTTCTTCCCGTTAGTGGGTATTTCTAAACAACTCCAAATCTGTGTTTATTCTGATAAATATGCTGGGATCTGTATGTAATTTCTTCTATACAATGTTTCATTGGTGATCATTTCATGGTTTGACGTGGTGAAAGAAATCAGCAAGTGGAGTCTCCTGTTGTTGGATATTTTTAGGGAGTCGTTTAAATGCTCATTTCGAAACTGAAGGCTATATGCTAAGCGGATTTTTTCTTTTTCTTTTTTTTTTTTTATGATTGAGGAATGTGGTTCAGGTTTAGTTTAAGGAAACATCCTTTTTGGAAAGAGCTGCCTTTATTTCCTCAGCTTTTATTTGGTTCGCAAAGTGTACTGAAGTGGTAATAGATGAGAAGTAATTCTCCTGGAATGGGGATTCTAGATGTTGATAATTTGTTTTTTACTAGAATGAAAAATAAATTTTTCGAGATATATGGAAGCTGATCCAAACACCAATTTACTGCATAAAACTAATAAAAACACAACTTCAAAAGAAATGGGGTTCGATCTCTATTGATCTTATTTGTTTGTTTCATTTTTCTTTTTTAGCTGCTGAAGAGGATCTCTTATCCCCTGCTTAACTTATTTTCCTCATTTCTCTCGCTAAAAATATTTTCTTCAAAATTGATTATTAAACTCATGCATATGACCTTGTATGTATTGATTTAGTATGCTGATATTGTATTCCTTGCCATGCTTTGGGATGTTAGTTTAAGGCAATGAAGGAAAAAGTCTCTGAGCTGTCTGGAAGAGGCACTGAGGAAGTCCGGGTTGTTGTCTCCCCTTATCGGATATGTCCCTTGGGAGCCCACATCGATCACCAGGTTGGTTTACTGTACCATTATTCGATTCATTTTTCTCAATTTGTTAAAATACCAGTACTTGACTCTTTGCTATGAACATTGTGGCCCCACCCCCACTAATTGTGCATTACGGAATTCCTATGTGATACATTTCATCCAAGTCTTAAGTTCCCAAAGTGTAATATGCAGAGATCTAAAAATCTGCTTCCCAATTGCCTTTAATATTTGCAGGGTGGAAATGTATCAGCTATGACAGTTAATAGGGGAATTCTCCTTGGATTTGTTCCTTCTGGTAACCCTGAGGTAATTACAGGTATCATTTGGTCTTTCATTTTTACAATAAAAGGAAAGAATAATAACCTCCAGAGTATCAGAACATTGAGTATCATGCAAGTGTTTAAAAGCCTTTGTAAAAGCAAGTAAATTCTTACGTACTATATTTATCTACTAGTATTTGAGAAGAAGAATGGATAGTTCAGTTATGGAAGTTGGATATCCTGAAAAAATATCGCTACATGAGTGGTTTTGAACCACAAATCAAGGTGGGCTCTTTTGTGTTTTATTGTTCATTTCTCTGAGATTCTTTAACAGGGTGCAAGGAATAAAGTTACTGGCCAAAAGTATTGAGAAGTGCCTATATAAGAGCCTTGACATAAAATGTTTCCTATGTAACCATTCCTTTTTGTCTTGCAATGTCATCTTCTGCTTAACTGTCCTTGGATTTCTTGGTTTAGGTTTTAGTGCATTCAAAGCAGTTTGCCGGAGAAGTTAAGTTCAGGTATATTCTTCATGCATCTCTTGCAATATATTTGAAAATGTGATGCTAGAAAATTGACTTAGTATTTTTGGCATTTAATTCTTGATAAAGAGGCAAAGTAAATTGGCCTTGACCGCCAAGAAATGTAACAGTGGATGAAGTGTATTGTAAGGACTGGTGCTTGGCACACTTTTGCTTCTTATGGTGACTTACATGTTAATTAGGGGTCTCTATTCTGTTGAGTATTACAATTCCTGATACGTTATGGTAATTGGAGTAAACATTGTCATCAGATGACTAAATTAGATTTCGGTATTTAAATTGGAATTATGTGGTTATTCTATGGTGGTTGGGGGATGTATCTGTTGATATCAGTTTGAATACTTCTTCTATTTGTGCCCATATGGAGAATGTGATAAAACATTAGTTTTGTTTTTATCCTACTGCAAGAACCATACCCTTGAATTTTATGTACATCTTTCAAAATTGCTCCACTGCTAATCACTATGCTCTCAATTGCTGAAAGTCTCTTAAGCTGTTCATAAATACAAGATTGGCGAGTACAGAAACCATTTCCTGGTACCCTCTAGAAAAACTCTGAATGGGTGCATTCTGACCAAAGACCTGACCTGATGGATGGTAACCCACCACCCTTGGACGTAGGAGTTCAAGCTTCTGGCTTCATTTTGGGGTTATTCCTTTTATTAAGTGCTGGTGGTGTAGCCATCATGGCGGACTCCATATCAAAAATATGTACTTTTTTTGCTTTCTGAAAGAGCAGCTGTGTGATAATATTCACCGATCATTTGCTTAAGAAAGATATTGTAGTTATTCTATGAGCATATGCTCACATTAAGCTGCACTAGAGTAAGGCATATAATAACCCAAAGCTAACCAAACGGCTTTATAGAGTGGATGAAGCCCAGCACCCAAAAGGTATTGCTCTGAAGAACAGCAAGATCCATGCAAGTGAGTCTTCCCAGATAAAAAAATATTCGAGCTGGGGAAATTATGCTAGAGGGGCGCTATATGCACTGCAGAGCAGAGGAAACCATATATCACAGGTTAGAGATATCTCCCTGTTTTTCTAAGAACTTCATGTTGGTCTACATAACTCTTCTTGTAGAATGGAAATAAAAACAATCTTTTACAAGTTACCCCCACACCGAATAAGGGCTAATCAAATGGTAATGTGTCTAACAGTGAGAGATATCTTAATCACACTGGTGAGAGAAAATGATGCCGAGTTCTGATTCCTTTGACACATTCTTTCTCAGGTTCACGCGTCTCTGCAGAATTATGAGAAAAATGCTTTCTGTCATCTTGAGCGGATTCCTTCTCCCATCCATAGATTGATTATGAACTTCTTAGGATCCAAAAGAGTATAGAAAACCAACTAGTATCTTCCAATATGGCCTCAAGTACTTTACCTTGTCTAATGAGTATTTCTGAATAGCTGCCTTGTGGAAAGCTGCATTAGGAATGGGCTGATACTCCTTTTATCGTTTTCAAACTCTGATTTGACTTTGGAATATCTAGATCATCGTTTGTTTCAACTTTTGCAGGGCTTCATAGGATATATTTGTGGTTCCGAGGGTATGGACAGCTCAGGCCTTAGCTCTTCTGCTGCTGTAAGTTAGTGTTCTTCTTCTTGTTTGATTTATTACAAGCTATCCACAGCTCATTCATACTTGAATTACCATGTCATTTTTCTATTGTTGAGTGTACTCTTTTTCATATATTTGCATCAGCATTAATCCTCTGAGCAGAATTTCCTTCTGTTGTTTCAGTTAAACATGGTGACTTATATAATGATGATTTTGGCTTTGAGGGCCACTTGAGATATCTTTATCTTGGGCCATCCTGGTTCATGTTTAAATGAAAACCATCATTTGATTTTAGTATGTGGATCTAAAAATTATACAATCGAGCAGAAAAGCGAACTACCTTTTCAAACTTTTGACTGGGATACTTGTACTAAATTCTTTCCAATAACTTTTCATGGGGATAAATTAAAGGGGCTTGATCTTTTTATTTTCATTAAAAAAAGAAAAAAAGTTATTGAAAGAGATAAAATACAAAGAAGGACGAGAAATTCTTCTGAAACACAGAAAAGTAAAAAAGATATTAACTTCAATAAAAAAATAAAACAGCCCAGTCCCTTTCTTAAGTGGATAAAGAAAACCCCCAAGAAAAAAATCATGAACCTTTGCCCACAAAGAAGACCACAATACCATCTTATGCCATAGAAAACATGGAGACTGGGAGACAACCTTGACATCTTATCATCAATAAATAACATCCAGTGACATATAAAACATATTGCACGGGTATTCACTCCCAATTTCCAAACCAAAATCTTAATGGCTTCTGCAGGTAAAGTAAAACCATCAAAGTCATTCTTGTACTTTCCGCAAACACTTCAAATTTGGTTTAAAATCTTTCCAAGCAACAGTTACATAGTTTAGAAGTTGTAATTGGAGCTTCAATGCAACTAGATTTAGCTAGTTACTCCAAGTTCAGATTGGCACTAGTGCTATGAAAACTAGAGAAAAGTAATTGGTGTGCTTACCTTGTTATTAAGGTCATCCAGGGCATGTATTAAGATGGAGGGTTTTAATATTGGTATCTCGTGTGAAAAGATATATAGTTACCATCAAAATTTATTGAAACAGCTACTTATTAGAGTTTCTTGACAATTTCAGTGTCTTTTATGACTTGCTCTTGGTTTCTCACTAATATCTCGTACATATAGAATCTCTGAAGTTTTTGTAGTTCCTTTGAAGTTAAATCCTTCTTTTGATACCTACTATTAACTAAATGATACATTTCTTTGACAGGTTGGAGTTGCTTACTTGCTAGCTTTAGAAAGTGCAAATAATTTGATGATTTCACCTACTGAAAATATAGAATATGACAGGTGTGCTCTTTGTGCCCTCTCTTTTTTTAGCCATATAACCAATCTACTTGATTTCTATATGTTTACATCACATCTAGAACTTAAACATGAGCTACATATTTAGTTCAGGATTTTCATTTGGCATTATTATTGGAGACCTCTTGATAATTCAGGATTAGCTTTCAAAAACCTCTTAGGACTTTTATTTTTTTGACTAAATTCTCTCTATTTCTATTTTCAACCCATATATTATTTTTTACGATTCCTCTATTAAAGAAAATACTCAAATTCACAAAGAGTAAACTTTTCCAAAGTTCAAATAGAAGGTGACTTTGGAAGCCACTCAGTAAGGTGATTTGATCTTTTGAGTGGCTTGAGTTAACATTCAGTTTCACCTCATTACGAATTTTTTTATACAAAAACTAGAATAATTTATTTCAATTCATGCCCTAACTAGTTAACCAAAGGAAAGGTTTATTACTTGCAACCGAGCTTGATTTTTGTCCTAGGTAAGCTTCTACCAGTTTCGTTGTAATTATACTTGGATTATGGACAAAGGCCGCACATCCCTTTTTGTAAAAGCATTGGGCATTTTAAGATTGACTTTGGTGCATGTGTAGGGTTATTGAAAATGAGTATTTGGGCCTGAAGAATGGCATTTTGGACCAATCTGCAATCTTGCTTTCAAGCTATGGGTGTCTAACATACATGGACTGCAAGGTAGTTTTTCTTTATTGCTTGTATTAGTTGTGAATGTTGTGAAGAATCCAACTCCACAATTTTAGAAATAAAAAGATGGAATTTGTGGATTTTCTATAATATTCATTGAGTTTGATTTTCATGAGGCCAATGTGACACCTGCAGACTAAAGAACACTGTCTTATACATCCACCGAAGTTGCTAAAGGACAACAAAACTGAATTTCAGAAAGCATACAAGATATTATTGGCATTTTCAGGCTTGAGGCAGGCTTTGACTACGAATCCTGGATATAATTACCGCGTTGCAGAGTGCCAAGAGGCTGCTAGGATCCTTCTTGAGTATGATCCATTTCCCTTGACATATAAAATTAACTGAATTGTATCTTGATGCTCCTATTCTTTTCCGTTTACTTCTGGTTAATGTATGTGCATCATAGAGTTCGGACACCATGCTAACTAATTAGTAAAGTATAAAGTCAATTCCTATTGATGCTTATCTGCAATAGTTTTGCTGATATGTAATGTAACTAATGAATTAGATTGCAGGAAATCAAAATAAGCACTTAACTGAGATGTAAATTCTGCTAGTCAATATTTGTGTTGCTGAGAGGTGATGATAGTGCATTGGTGAAGGAAATCAACTGGTAGTTGTTTTAGGTTTGTTAGCGCAAAGAATATATCATGTGAAAACTATAGTTAATTCAAAAGGACGCTCACTCTCTTCAAATCTGTTGGACTTAACTTCAACGTTAATCAATTGATAGAAAACCTTGTTGGCTTACACCAGAAACTTAGATTTGAAATCTATCTTGTTGGTAACCGACGCATCTTTGTTACATTTCGGAATACTAAGGTTTCAGGATGTGACTAGAGGTTTATGACACCTCTTTCTTTTATGTTGTTCAGAGCCTCTGGAAATGTGGAAGTGGAACCTCGGTTGTGCAATGGCAAGTATTTTTTGACTTCATCTTCGAGTTTCCGCTAATTTATATCAGTTTCTATTGAAAAAGATCTCTTAATACTTGGGTTTTTGTTTTCTTTCTTCTTTTTTTCTCCCAAACAGTTGACCCAGAGTTTTATGAAGCTCACAAGGTAATTGCCATACATTCATACCGTTGAAATTTATCAAACAACAGAATTGTATTTCAAGCTAGTTCTATCTATGGAATTCTTAATCCATATTTCACTTTCTCATACAGAGCAAATTAGAGCATGATCTAGCCAAAAGAGCAGAGCATTATTTCTCTGAGAATATGCGGGTTAGGAAAGGTACTGCTCTATGCCAAACATAATGGTATATATTGCTCCGCTATCATGTTTCTGTATTAGCAATGTTTTGTTATTCATCAACTGGGAGCTTATTGTGCTATTTCAGGACTTGAAGCTTGGGCTTCAGGAAATCTGGAAGAATTTGGAAAGCTCATTTCAGCTTCTGGCCTAAGTTCCATCAAAAACTATGAATGTGGTATAGTCTATTAACTCTAGCTTCCATGACTCAGAAGTTATACAATCATTAAACTTGTATATGCTCAGCACATAGAACCATGGTGATGTAGTGACAGCGTTGCTTTTCCCTTCTCCATACTTGATTTTCCTTGCTGTTTTTACCGAGAGCTTTACATACGGAAGACTTTCTTATTTCAAACTCTCTAAAAGCAAGGTTTTCTCATTTCAAAATTCTAATTAACAAATATTTTCTAATATCATCCGGTAGATTGACAAATTTCCGAAACTAGTAAAAATTTGCAAAACAAACAAAAATAAAAATCAATAATGGGATTTCAGTTTGACATTATTGAGAATTTTGACAATTGATGGTTATCAAGGTTCGGAGCCGCTGATACAACTTTACGAGATCCTCCTGAAGGCTCCTGGCGTATTTGGGACACGGTTCAGTGGTGCTGGGTTCCGGGGATGCTGTCTTGCTTTTGTAGATACAGATCATGCTGAAAAAGCTGCTTCATTTGTCAGGAAGGAGTATCTTAAGCTGCAACCGGACCTGGCAAATCATATAGAGGAGAAGGCTGTGTTAATATGTGAGGCTGGGGATTGTGCTCATGTTCGCAAGTACACAACTCATTAACTTCATCTCTGCAAGTTTATTCATCCATTTCATTTTGCAGGAGCATATATATGTATGTATATTGTCATTCATTCGGGTATATCAACTATGAATGTACTGAAAATTATTCACTTCATCATAAATACAAGTTCTTGGGCATGTTGCAACCCATTTCTTTCTCTATACTGATCTGTACTCATCTCTTCTTTTCTGTGTAATCATTAAAGTAGCTTTATGCAGTTAAACATTCAATTTCAATTACATAACCGAGAAAAGGCGTCAAAATAGATGGGCTGATTTGATCAGTATGGGTTGGGATCAGCCAATACAAAAGCTAAGGCAGGTTGGACTCGACCAAAATATAAGAAATATTCTAAAAGGGTTAGCCGACTTGTTGGCATAGCCCGTAATAGGTAATATCAAGTCGAAGTTTGAATCAAACTATGAGCTACATATATTTTTTATTTTTAATATTCAAGTGCAAGATTATCTTCTTCTAAAAATTCTATTATCCTGAGATATAATCTCAAAAAATTATGTGAAAATCAAATGAAAATAGAGACAAATAGAATATAAAACTATGATCTTTTAATGTTCTACTTTTGTGAATCATATTTGGTTTACAGCCCAATATTTCATTAACTTGAATATTATAGTTAATATAAATCGTGTAGATTTAGAAATATTATATAGATTAAAAGAATTTCTCTAAAAGGGTACTTGAGTGCCACATAATGGCCTTTCAGTAATAGTTTTATTGTTAAGTCTATGCTATTTATCATATAAAAATGTGCCCCCTTATAAAATTAATAATTTACATAAACTGAAAAAAAAAAATACAATACCCAGACAAAAACTCAGAATAAAGTATGTGCTTCTACCATCATAAAGTACATCCAGCCCACGGTCAGGAAAATTCTTATGAATTCTAATGTTATAATCTATATAAGATTATTGCATACATCATAAAAAATTATATGAATTTGCGATAAAATATCCTCCAACAAAGGAAAATTAGGAGAGTTATGATCAACTTTTGTTTTTTTTTTTTTTAAAAAAAAAAATCTGAGTTATATAATCCACGTTGATTCAAGAAATAGGTCACTTGGAATAAAGAATAACGTGCATCGCCAGAACAGGTTAAGATCAGTACGTACAGAAACTGTAAATGGAAAAATCTCTATTCATCATTCATAGAAAAATCTCCATTCATCATTGTATATCCTCTACCCACCTCAGGAGTAATGCAAATTATGTGAGTTGCAGAGTTGAAAAGCTTAGATTCTCATGCAGAGTTGCAGAGCAGAAAGCTTAGATTCTTGATCTACATGAAATATATATATTATATGATCAAGCAGATTAGATAGAGTAATAGTAAACTAATGTACCAAATTATCAATATTCTGCTTTCCATGCATAGAATTCATAATTTGCTTGTATACTGGCAATACAAACTTTCAGATTTTTGGCTTCTTTTGTGTGCTTCCGTTCCCAGTCTCAGCCCTGCGCTTTATCCCCAAGAAATGTTCTACCTGACAGACGTCCAGCTTGTTGTTAGCTTCTTTTAGCTTTTCGTATTCAAAATTGTAAAAGGGGAAGATTGAAACAAATAAAATCTTGTTTTCTACAATCATGACTATGCAGAATCACCAACCAACATGTCCAAGTGCCACAAGTGAGCTTGGATCACAAGAAATGGTTCATATTTCACTAGCTTAAATATACGATGGTATGAAAACTTGGGGAACTCAGAAACGTACTGACTAAACAACTACTAGAGCAGATAAGAGCAGACCTTTGTGAAAGCCCTGAAGAAAGCTGGCACAAAACTACCACCAGCTATGGGAGCTCTGAAGTAGGGTTTTTTAAAAGAGAAGGCATCTCTTATGATCTCCGATCAAATAAACAAAAAAAAGAGTCCAGTCGTAGCATGCATTAGTCTCCATGCATACAAGCCTTTTCTCCATACACATATATATATATATATTTTTATCCAACCACAAAAAACATCCCTCATGCACTTACAAAGAAACATATGCCTCATATATGCATCTATGTGCAGGTGAAGAATGATTTAGGGATTGACTGACCTTTTTATCACCAAGCATTGGTGTCAAGCTCCCTGGAACATCCTTCTCAACGGTAGCAAAACCACTAGTTGGATCACTGGTTTGACTGAAGAAAATACAACATGTAAAGAATGCAGAATATGTTAGCACATCAATACAAGAAAAGAAAAAGTATGAAACAAAAAAAAAAGAAACATATTGTTACATATGTTTAGACTTTTTAGCAAAGGCAAGCAGTCCGTTGATCATTTATAGATCAACAGAGTTATTCATCAGACAACCAACCAATAAAAATTCCCAAATATCAATAGAATTAAATGTAAGGAAGATAGCATCAACATCAAATGCAAGTCGGGCTGCATCAAGGACCATTTTAACAAATAATGACTTGTGAATTAAAGTAGGGTGTGCGATAAATTGATTTCAACCATCCAAAGTGCAGAAATTCCTTGAAACTCATGAAGGCAAATCTTGATAGCTATAATATATATATATATAATATTATATAAGTTGTTAGAATTATGTCATTAAACCACATTGTATGGACCAAATAATAATTTTTAACTTTTTGAAACAACAGCTGTCCTGCTACCATCAATAAAATCTTAGCCATCATTGTTAAGAAAAAGCATACCCTGGTTTCACATGACCACTGAGGACAAGATAGGGCGTCTTTAATCGAGCTTGAGCTTCTCTCATCCTCTCTACAGAAAGTGACGGTGTATCTGAGTTTTTCATTTGTTTCAACTTCAACTCTTCTTGATATTGTTTCATACGCTTTTCTTGCTTCATTTTGCCAGGCCCCTTACCATGGAACTTGTGAGAAATCATTCGAAAGGCTTCCTTGGGAGTCATCTGGCAAGGGAATAGAATGAATCAAAACAGGAAACAGAGCTTAAAATTGTTGTTACCCACAGTTCAAATTAACTATGACAATCATAGACTAAAAAGACGACAAATGAAGATGAAGATAATCATAGTTAAGACCAAAATTTGAACATCCACTTTATGCAGTTTAAGCAAATCACAAACACAATTCAATAATTTTCAAAGTATTATTATTACCATAATTAATCAAACTGTTAAAAACCTAATCATAATGGCAAATATAATAGGGCAAGATACCACTCAGCCAGAAAAAGAAAGAGATGCCTATCCTATTTCTGCATGTAGCACATGCATGGTGTCATACAGTTAGTGATTTTTTTTTTCGCAATATAATATGTACATGGTTCAGAAACATATAAGAGTAACAAATTTACAGCACAACGAATCTAAAGTAAATTTTGGTTAATTAGTACTTACAATTCGCCCAAATTCATCAGTCCTCTCTATGCGAATATCCTTGAATCTGTCATTGTTTCCATCATCATCTACGATTCCCACAAGTTTGCTTTTTTTCTTGTCCATGTTTCTCCCACCCCACTCAATACTTTCTTTGAGTGTTCCTCGCTCCTTGAACAGTTTCAATGCACCTGATAATCCTTTGCCAATTGGAACCTCATGAATGGTTTCATCTGGAACTACCTCCTCCTTATCATCTTCAGCAGGGTTTTCATCTTGAACACTGTCTTTAACTTCCATCCACCCACCAACTTCATCTTTTATTTCTTGATTAGAAGCTCTTGGTGCTTCATCTTCATCCATGAAGACATCTTCACCCTCAGGCTTGTGGGCTTCTGAAGGATCAAAATAAAAAATGATATCCATTTAAATATAAGCAGTAACAAAAAATTCACTTCACGATAAGCAAGGAAATAGAATGCTCATGATAGTTATTCTTCCAGGAATAATTCAAACTAAGTTGAGAATATATATTCGGAAACCATACAGTGAGAAATAATTCATTGAAGATATGGACATAATAATATCAAAAAATAATAATAATAATGCAGCACTGGCAATGACAAGGATGTATGTAATAATAATCAAATTCCAGAAAAAAGATGGTAACCAGATGCATTAATATTGATACAACAAAAGATTTGCTACCTGCTGACTAGATAAAAGATTTCCCTCACTTCAACCATGAATATACAAGTTTTATACTTAATAAGAAAAATTACCTTCATCAAGCTGGAGGCCCCAGACAAACTCTTCCATCTCTGTAAAGACTACCATATTCTCTTGTGACTCCCTATTTGTAGGGTTCTGATCATCTGTAGTTTGATTGCTGGTGGTGGAGGTTGCAAGAAGTGCAACTGCTTGAGGACCAGATGAAGGCTCTTCTTGCTTTTTAAGGGCCAATTTCCTAACTCTTTCCAAAGATTTATGAAGATCATCATCATCAGCAGCAAACACATTATTTTCATCTTCCTCCACTTTAACAGGAAGAGTTTGCTCCAGTCGCAGTGATTTAGATGCCTCATCTGCTTTAGTATATGCTGACTGGTATGCATTATTCCGCAATGCAGCCTCATATCGCTCTTGCTCCTCCCTAACAGCTTGTCTCCTCCCATCATTACGAGAACCGAGATCCCCAGCCCCCAATCCTGCGGCAACTGCTTCTGCTTCAAGTGCATCTATATCCAATTTTTCTTTCTTCCGCAACGATTTCTTTTTCTTGGGCTTTTTAAATTGAAGCATTTCCTCATGAGTGTAATAATCTGAGGAGATCTTACTAGAGGGTTCAAGATCTTCGAAACGATTAGTTAAAGGACGCTGTAATTTTCTACGAAGCTGACAATTCAAATTAAAAGAAAAAAAAAAGGTCATCTATCAGCTAAAGAAAACTAATCATATTCCCCATCGTTCTAACACTAATGCATGCGACATAAGTAAGTTACCTCTTCTAGCTTCTTCTCTGCTTCATCTGTAATACGTCCTCTTTCATCCAGAGTCATGCCCTGAAAAAAGAATATATCAATTAAGAAAAAGATTACCATAAAATAAACTTACGCAGATTGCTTCAAGAAGAAATTTCAAGAAACAGGTTAAGCCAAATGACAGACCTCATCTGCAGCTGGATCATCATATTGTGGAAGTATCTTTTTCTCTGAACCAGGATCATCATTGAACCTAAGACAAATGAATGGTAGTTTAATCAATTAATTCTTGCAAATTCACAAAATAATAAAGCACCATAGAAGTTTCAACTTACTTATCATCATACAACCCTGTTTTTTTCTTTGCAGCTTTATATGCATCATCTCGTCGCTTCTGCTCTCCAATTTCCACATTTTCAAGCATATCAACCTCTGCCAGATCAGATCAAAAACCTCTGTCAAACAAAAATGTCAATTATCTATCGCAATCCAGCTTATAATACAAATGAGCGGGTGCAAAATGATGCCTACCATTGTTAATATCACCATCAGCAAGGATATTCTGATCTTTGAGAGTCAAAACAACTGCTCCACCTTCCATTACTTTGTCGATACCATGTAGAACTTTAACCCCAGCCAGATTGTCTGTCAAGACATGTTCAAAACCAAAGTGGATCAGCAAAACTACATAAAAACGTAAGAAAATCATTGCATAGACCATCAAGCATGCATGCAGCTAGAGAGCTATAGCCAAAATACTACATGAAGAATAAGATAGTAAAAATGCAATTGATTCCACCAAGCTTGGCTCCAGAACTATCAACTGTAGGAGTCTGTCTTAGGCCTGTGGAAACTTAGTTGAGTAGTTTTGGGTTCAATCATAGCAGAGCACAGGAAGAATTGAATTTGACAAAATAGTAAAAGGGTTATTGCTCTTATTCCTCTAGCTATGTTCTGGGCTTAAAGAAAGCAAAAAAAGGTGAGTAATTAAAATGGTGAGTCCACTTTGCGTAGGGTTAGATATTTAGTTCTCATATGCTTAAATCTTAAGTCTTTTTCTCAACAGAAAGAAAATTTTAACATGATGGAGAAGAAAGCAAAAGATGGAGGATTACATACCCTCCCAAAGAAAAGAAAAAAGAAAGAAAAAATGAGATCATCTATTCTTGCAAAAGAATACTACCAATCTCTACTCAATATAGAGAAAGAGCATCTTTAAAATGGCAATCGCTTGCCACATAAAGGCCAAAAAGGACATTTATCTTAAAGAATCAAAAAGGGAAACTATGATCTGTAAAGATTCACGCATGTCTCCCCAACCAAATCCCCCACAGCCAAGCACAAAAAGCCTCTCACCAAAGAGCTTTATTCTCCTTCTTCAATCTCATTCCCTGGAAGGGCAGAAGAAACAAAACTCTCTAGTGCCTCAGCGAGACCCAAAACTTCTAAGTCTTAATATTAAGTTTTACAGTCTCCCAAGTTCTGGTTCAGTGAGTCTGGGAATCTTATATACTGGTATCATTAACGTATATTCCTGCTTATATGGATGTCACCCTCTTGCTTAATACAACAAAGGGAGAGAAAGGAAAAACATCATTTAAGAATTCCACCACAAAATTTTAGCAACAAAATATCCATTTACATCTAACTAATTTAAGATATTAGCTTGCTGTGAGTAAGAAAAACTGAAGTAAAAGAAAAACATACAAGTACCATTCTGGCCAGCCTCATCATTTTCACTTTCCTCTTGGACAATATTTTCCTGATAAAAGGTTTAATTGCTTTAAATCAGAAAATCTTGATCCTACATATTGCAGAAAATGACTAAGACAAGACTTACTAACCTGCTCTTCAAAAATCTTTGAGAGCTGCAAGGCCCTCTCTTTTTCAGCATATCTTTTATCCTCAAGCTTACGACTCCTGTTCACCCATGCTAAAACCTCAGAAACACCCTGAGACTTGTTCGTGGGTCTTTCGTGTCTCATCCTGAAAAAGATTTGAATCCATTGTCATGGGCAATTGGGATAACTAAGCCACAAATGGGCAACATTCATGTGCTATGAAAGAGAGAAATAGCTGATAAGAAAGACCTTCAACCTGACAAGCAAAAGAGCATGAAAAAAGAATATTTTCCCATCAATAAGGATTCTTCATTTTTATGGCCACCAAAAGAACATTACTAGAATTACAATCCACAAGTTCTCTACTTGTTAACTGATCAGCTAAGAGTGTCCACATGGATGTACGGATAAAACAGAACAGGATATGTTGACCAGATTCAATACATTAAAATTCTTGGTGCCAAGACCTTTTTTTTCTTATCTCAAGCATTAAGCATGATTCTTGGATATGCTTCTATTTTCCATACATAAGGAAGACACCTAGAATAAAAGATTGAAAATTTTTTTGCTGTTACAGGAAAATTCCTTAGCTTTTATTAGTGTTAAACAGAATTGAAGCCAACAACAAAAGAGGCAACTAACTCAGAGACATAACCAATTGACTGTGACAGTTTCAACATTCCAAGGGACAGAAAACTATCCTGAAAAGTTCGAAATGATAACATATTGGTGATCAATCTTAAACATTAATAGATAACATAGATGATAAGAGGCATCTAGATTTACTCACTTCAAAATGCGCTCCTCAAGCTCCAACGTTGGCACTTGTACTCCACCAGATGTACGCTTAGCAACTTGTTCATCTTCAACCCTATTCCCATTATCTTCATTGTCATTTTCCGCTTCATCCTTACCACTCTCATGGACATCTTCATGAGCTTTCTTGCTTGTTCGATCTCTATCTCTCAATCTCTCTTTCACTTTATCTGCTTCCTTATCCTTTTCTCTTGTTTTCTCTTTAGCCCTTTCCTTATCTCTATCCTTTTCATAATCCCTTTGCTTTTCTCTTTCCCTATTTTTTTCTCGATCCTTTTCCTTCGCCTTCTCTCTTTCTCTTTCCTTATCTTTGTCCCTCTCCCGACTCTTTTCCTTACCTCGCTCCTTATCTCGCCCCCTATCAGTCTCCTCAACATCTCTGTCCTTTCCTCGATCCTTTTCTTTCCCTTTGTCCTTTCGATCCTTTTCCCTATCCCGCTCACGCTCCTTTTCCCTTTCCCGCTCACGCTCCTTTTCCCGATGCTTATCCCTCTCATAGTCTCTTTCCCTTGACTTAGCATCTTTGCTTCGATCTCTATCGTGCTCATCTCTATCTTCCTTCCTCTTATCCCCACTCAACACTCTATCTTTCTCAAAATCTTTAACTCCTTTCTCTTTGTCTTTTGAAACATCATCACTGGTTTTCTTCGACCGGTCTTTACTTCGATGGTCCTTGCTTTTCCTCCGATGCTTACTCGATTTTTCTGTTTCCAAATCCCCCTCCCTGTGCTCCCGCATCTGTGAGTCCATGTCCTCCCTCTCATCTTGATGCCCATCCATGTCCATTGCAGACACAAAACTCAAACTTCTTTAGAAGTTTCAACTGCCACAAATAATTATGACACACAAAATAATAGTTAGAAATTACTGTGGCTAACATCAATATTTATATAGTAGTAAGTACAAACACATATCAACAGATCAATTGAAAATCCAGGAACCTCGAACAGGCCCTCAAAGAGAAGTCCAAGAGATGAATAAAAACCTCTTCACTTTGAAGAAACAACAGAATCGAGCAGACACACTCACCTCCACCGTCTACCCCTACCAAGCACACAGACACTCACCCCTCAACCTACTGGCACACTCACCCCTGCAGCCACCAAACATGCACATAGACCCTCAACCTAAATGTTGATGCAAAATTGAAAAGCTGCACCAAATTATTTTCTACAAAGGAAGTATCTCCATATAGTTTCATAATGAACGAAGAAATGGATACATATACTGAAAACTAGAAGTAAACAAATGAGATAAATTCGAATGTCATACCTTATTTATGCCGACTGAAACCTAGAACGAAGCCTCAATCGCAGACTGCAAATACCAAACACGAAAGCTATTCGCCAACCTAGATCCAATAAAATATAGAACAGAGAGTGAGAACCAAGTAAAAGAAGAGAGAGCGAGATTGAAGAAGAGAAAGCCACGATAAACCAGTTGCGATAGACGGAGAAAGGCGGTCTTTGCGCGAAGACTGAAAAAATTGGTACCTGTTCACAAAGTCGAAGTGAAATAATATTCAGAGGCACGCGTCCATCAAACTCCACCACGAGCGTGTTAATGATATCGTTAAGAAGATATAGAAGATAGCAGAGAACAGAGAAAAGAGAACAGAGAACAGAGAAGAGAGAAGAGGAGAGGAACACCAGGAACGGCCGTGTTCAATGGTGGAAAAAATAGCCGGAGCTAATTAACCCGAATACTTTTATTCCCGGACCTTCCTGCCCAGCAATATCCAATTACTTTATACCCGACCCGACCAGGGCTGAATCCTAGAAATGCTTGTAATAAAGATTATATAATTTTCTGGTAATTTGAGTGATGTACTTTTTCAAAAAGCATATAATAAATTTATAGTAACCATGTACTAGATCTTTACTGATTAAATAATATTATAAAATTTTTATATAATAACTAATATAAAAATAGAAAATAAAAAATTAATTACTAAATATTAATTATAAAATTTTAATTTTTTTGTAAATACGTTTAAACACTTTTTATTAAGATTAATAAATAAAAACACGTACTTTAATAAATAAGAAATAAATTTAAATTTTAATCAATTCAATAATGTGACCCATCACATTCTTAGAAATGGCACATACGTATCCCTCTCTCTCTCTCTCTCTATATATATATAAAAGTTTGATTAGTCTTCCATTAAAAAAACACATATGTAATTTTTAACATAAATTTATTTATTTTTTATCTTCAAATAATATAGAATTTCTATAATGGTTTTGTAATTCTATTTTTCCACTAAAAATAATTGGAGTTGGAATGTCAAACCTAGGGCAGGCTAAACTACTAAAAAATGTAATAACACTAAAATAATAATATTACAACAACAACCATAATAATAAAAACGAATAAGATTTATTTTCCTTAGTTAAAAAAAATATATATACGTAATATTTATCTAATTTTATGAAAAAAAATATAAAATTTAAATTACGTAAAATAAAAATTAAGAAATAACGATGATGATAATAATAATAATTATCGAAAAAATAGGGTAATTAAAAGAATGGGCGAATAACATTATTGGTAGCATTTGCCATAAAAATAGGGTAGTGTAATGTAATACATTATTTTGTTTTCTGAATTTGCATCTTCTTCTTATGCATAGATGGGTTAGGGTTTATGAAAAACTCCTCCTGCGAGCAAAGCAGCTTCCATAACCACATTGATGACATCAATAACTTCATCCGGATCACACGTGTTTCCCTTGAAGGTATGAGCTCCTGACTTGCTGAAGTTGTTCATGCAATCGATGAAGTTTTGGCTGCATTCTTGACTTAGATAGTCATCTGTAACACACCCATTATTGCTTTACATACGTACGTACATACATACATACATATATATATATATATATATATCAATATCACATGTATAACACACACACGGCAACCTTTATGGTTTTTTTGAGCCCTCAGTAAGTTTGTAGCAAAACTTCAAAGAACCATCAAAAACTACTGGATCTCAAGTACAATAACTTACCAAACACCATACATGTTCGGAACATACAGACTTTCAAAGGAAAATTAATCAAAAAATTTACATATATATAAATATATTATAACTATGAAATGGGAGGACATATTGTTTCAACCATTTAAAATTGTCTGTAAATTTGTTTTGTATTATATATATAAACAGCATCTGCTATTTAATATCTACCTACACAAGAACTATTTGTCAAACAACTTTTGAACAAAAACTGGATTTATTTATGAATATTCATAGATTAAGGGTAATGATGAAAAACTAAAATAAAATTAAGGAGGTCAGTACAGTCATTGTAATCAAATTTTAGATCTCTCTTCCTATTGTGACCAACCTGTTACAGTTAAGAAAACTGTGTTGTTAATGCTATGAATATTGTCTAACTCTCAAATTTAAGCTATGATTTGAAACAAATAAGTTTTTTGAATAGAAAATAAAACTTTACAAAATTTCTTAAATTATTCCAAAAATAATCTCATAGTAGCATCCTCTTCTGATTACTCAGCCGGTTTCTTACCAGATTAAGCTGTCAGAAATGGTTGAACCAACAAAATTATTTCATACAGACAGAGCCACCGACAGTTCAATCAAATAAACTATATTCTTCAAAAACCAATAATAATGTTAGGGTTTGAAAATGGAAGTACAAACTCACTGTTTTTGGACTGAACACAGGAATCATGCTTCATGCAGCAAGCATCAAGACCATCACAAGGCTTCTCTCCAGGGCACCCACTGTACAGAAGTCCACAATACTTGCCGTATCTCAACAATGGAGGCACTGGCAAAATCATACTCAAAATTATATATATATATATAAAAATAATAATAATAATAAACAATTAGATTGATAAGAATCGAAAGCGTACCTGAACAGAATTTAGATTCGCATTTTCTGC